AAGGGAGACCGAATGTAAGCAGGGCAGATCGTGTCAGTTTTAAGAAGGAGAAGAGAGAAACGTCGCGACGCGTAGGTCAAGCGAGCGAGAGAGAGGAGCAGAATATGAAAGGGTTGAAAATCGGGTTTCAGATCGGGTGAGCCGCGTACATGCATAGATATTTACATGCATACATAAGTATGTCAAACAAATACAACATATTTTTCTTACCTTAGAAGGTTTTAAAACAAAATTACAGCTTCGACAAACAAATTATTTGGCTGATGCAACTGCAGGTATTTTCACTCTGAAAAATAAATAAAATGCGAGTAATAAGATAAAGTTATTATAGAACTGTACACCCACAAATTTATGTACAAATGTATGTATGTACGTAGCTCTTAGCTAAAAAACAATTCAACTTAATTGATGTAAGCTTGGTAAAGAGATTTGGAATTTATCCTTTAATTACATACATACAATTGTACGCGCGCTATACAAAAAATTATATATTTACATACCTTTGAATATTCGGAAAAAGGCTTCACCTCTTATCCGCTTGAAAATCACGTCCATCACTCACGAATTTTTTTCACAACTGACGCTCGGGGGATCAGAGAAGTCGGTAGCCGGGTAGTAGTCGGGCCGAGTAGGCCCTTCGTCCCACTTCGTTTTTCTTGTCGTTAACATTCGGCAGCCGAAGGAAGTCAATGGCTACTTTCCTATATTCTAGGGTCATTTCATTCATATATTCAAAAGTGATTTTGTCCTTAAATACGTACAAAAATGTTTTGGCTGCGACGGCAAAACAAACATATGAGATTTTCATTTTTCTATTTTTAAGAAAAATTCTTTCTTGAATTTTTTCCATCAAGAAAGGTTTTCTGTATTCAAAGGCCAATTTTCTAATAACAAGAAATTTTTTTTCTATTTTCAAAGGTAGGCCGATTCAATGGCGAGATTTCCAAAATTTAGAAATTAATTTTTATGAGTGTGCTTTTGTCGCAATCTTCCACAGGCTCCCGAACCGCACCACTCCCCCCTTTTTTCCATCGAATTCAGGGTCTGACTATGCAAAAATGCAGCAGCCAAAAAGCACATAAAATTATTATGTGACGAGGAACATGGGGAGTGCAAATCGGAGGGTGGTGTGGAAAATGCGGAGGGACAATGCTCAAAGGCATTTCGGACTCGGCCAAAAATCAGACTCAGCATGTGCGCATAAGGCTCAAATAAACTCAAGTTGTTGACAAAGGGGTTAAAGGCCATAATTGTGGCCGTCGGCAGAGAGGGGCTTATATGAAAGGGGATGGCCCAACCCTTCTCCAGGGGGAACCTCCCGAACGTGCCAGACTGAAAGTGGAATTTTCATTGGATGTGTAAACAAAACCAGCGGGGGAAAATGAGCCAGATGAGCTAGTCGGAAAAGCTTTCCTGACGGTGCCGCTAAAGTGATTTTTTAAAGGGATGCTCTCTTCTTTTATGACCGTTTTAATGGATATTTGGTCACAAAATTTAATTACCTACTAAAAATGTAAAAATAAATACTTAAGTAAATGTCTTTCGGCCCTTAAAGAAGTTTTTAGAACTTAAAACACTTCTTTCAATAATAGCATTTCAAGTTAGTCTTAATATATAATAATAAGTACCTATCGATTTTTGTTTCTTTATAATAGTTATAATTATTTGATAAGATTTCGATACTGAATTGAATTAAATTGTCTCAATTTTATAAATTATGTTTACAAACTTTTTAAGTTATTTTTATACTTCGCCGTTGTTGTTCTTATATCTTTTTATTTCCGCCTTATTTTGTCTTTCTGCTCTGGCTCCCTTTCTTATCTCCACGAAAAAATTGCAAAGCTAATAAAATGTATTATCAAACTTTTGCAGAAGTTCTTTGAAAAGCAACTCCATAAAATCAAATTTATGTATTACCTGCATTGCCCCCCATCCATTTTCCATTCCCTTACTTTCCAGCTTCTTTTCACTTCCTATATCGTTTTTACTCCCTCAACTGCGGGAGAGCAAAACCTCTGGTCGCACTTTAAATAAGCATTAAATTGATACAGCATAAAGTTGTTTCCGTCTCTCTTCCCCCTTTCTCTGCCGTTCTCAGTCTCCCAAGACGCACTCCAGACACATTCTAATCGCTTTATAACTTCTAACGCAGTTTATCAGAGCCGTACCGCAGCTCACAGCCCCTCATCCCTTAATTCCACCACCCACCAAAGTCATCCTTCCCATACCATTAAAAAGGCTCAAAGGCAAAAGTTATTGTCACGCACTAAAGTCGCTTTCATGTGGAGTTGTGTGGTGCACTGAAAAAAAATCACCAAAATAGTTTGTTAAAAAAAACACACACATACTATAACTTATCGTTATTATAGCTATAATTTATTAATTACGTCTTATACAGCTGCGGTCAGAAGGAGTAACGAAAGCGAAGCACATTAAATTCAATCAAAGATTTTAAAGATAAAATCAAAAATGTCTTAGATTTTGATACAACCATCCGCCAAAATAATGAGAAACATTTAACAAAGTTATGAAATATTTAACTAAGCTATCATATCAGGGAATCCCAATAACATTTTACAGAGGTTTTTTTTTGCATGATCCACCCCTAATAAATAAGTCACACTAAAAAAGACATTTGTAGATAAGATTACTAAATTATAGTTCAACAAATCGATAAGAAACTTTATAGAAACGTTTTCATTTTTAACTGTGCAATTTTTTTATTGGAATGGGTGAAACAGAGGATATGGGCCGTTCTTTTACAAACCGAACAGATTTGGGCAAAAAAAAAATTTCACATTTTTGATTTACCTGAAACTTTTTTTACACGTACTATTCGGAAAATAAGTAAACACGTGTATCAGGATTTGACCGAAAAAAAATTATTTTCCTAGTTAGAATTTTTTTAAGTGTGCCAAAAATTGTCAAATTTGAAAAAGTACCCTCTCATTGAAAATCTGTATCTCCGGTTATATGAATCCAATTGACTTCATGTCTTTTGCATTAATTCCTCTAAAACCTCTCCTTTCAAAAAAAATTTCTTAAAAAATTTTTTTTTTAAATTTCTTAAAAATAAAAACAAATTAAGATTTAAAAAAATTTTTTAACTATTGCCCCCATAAAAAAAAATTTTTTTATTTTAATACTTGCGCCATATTGTTAGTTACAATCGGTTTTTGTAAAAAGTTGGAGCCACTTTTAGTTTTTAAAATATCGAATTTGTTTTAGCAAGGCCTCGGCTTTTTCTATGAAAAAACGTCGCAGCAAGTAGATCTACTCTCTCACTCTTATCGGATCCTAATGGAATTTATGTTTTCTCATTGTTTACTAGTCCTTTAACAATTGTTAATGATTAAAAGTTAAGTTTTAAGTTTTTTGACAATTTCTGAATGACAAAAAGTAAAAAGTCATTTTTTAATCAATTAAAAACTTACAACTATTTATTTAACCGTCTATTTAATAAACAATAATTTTAAATTTATTTTATTTATTATTTTTTTATATTATGTAATTTATTAAACATTTTTAAATATTTATTTTTAAATTTAAAAAAAAAATTAATTAAATTTTATAATTTTTTATTTTTATTAAATAAATTTTTTTAAAAACTTAAAAAAAAATATTTAAAAATGTTTAATAAATTACATAATATAAAAAAATAATAAATAAAATAAATTTAAAATTATTGTTTATTAAATAGACGGTTAAATAAATAGTTGTAAGTTTTTAATTGATTAAAAAATGACTTTTTACTTTTTGTCATTCAGAAATTGTCAAAAAACTTAAAACTTAACTTTTAATCATTAACAATTGTTAAAGGACTAGTAAACAATGAGAAAACATAAATTCCATTAGGATCCGATAAGAGTGAGAGAGTAGATCTACTTGCTGCGACGTTTTTTCATAGAAAAAAGCCGAGGCCTTGCTAAAACAAATTCGATATTTTAAAAACTAAAAGTGGCTCCAACTTTTTACAAAAACCGATTGTAACTAACAATATGGCGCAAGTATTAAAATAAAAAAAATTTTTTTTTTGTGGGGGCAATAGTTAAAAAATTTTTTTAAATCTTAATTTGTTTTTATTTTTAAGAAATTTAAAAAAAAATTTTTTAAGAAATTTTATTTTGAAAGGAGAGGTTTTAGAGGAATTAATGCAAAAGACATGAAGTCAATTGGATTCATATAACCGGAGATACAGATTTTCAATGAGAGGGTACTTTTTCAAATTTGACAATTTTTGGCACACTTAAAAAAATTCTAACTAGGAAAATAATTTTTTTCGGTCAAATCCTGATACACGTGTTTACTTATTTTCCGAATAGTACGTGTAAAAAAAGTTTCAGGCAAATCAAAAATGTGAGCCAATAAAAGGTGTTCGGTTTGTAAAAGAACCGCCCATATGCAGACCCCAGCCCATCAAGCCAATCTCCATGCAAAAGCTCTCTGGTTATTGCCATCTTGCTCGCACTTTCTCTGGGGTTTTGTTGGGTGTCTTTTGTGTCTATTTGGTTTTCCCTCGCTTTTCTTCTTTTGCACTTTATTTTTTTCTCTCGAATTTTTTTGGGAACTACGTCTAGCAAACAAGGCGGAAATTATTGTCGACGGCGACTTGCAGTTTTTTTTTAGCTCTTACATTTTTCTTTCTCAGCCATTTTCTTCTTGCATCTTCAATATTTTTTTCCAATGTCAAATTGTTATTGTGTCTGAGGAATACTTTTATTTTTCTTATTTTCGCTTTTACTGTGATTGCATTGGTTATGAATGGAAAAAAGTAAAGTACCGTAAAAGTTTGAATTCGTCCTATGAGTAATTCATTGTGTGGATAGCAGAGAAATATTGCTATCTTTACAGCCCTATTCGAGCATTAGCAATGGAATCAAAGTGAATCCCCAGTGAGTCAGTCGAAAACACACCCCTTTCGATAAGATAAGCCCGCAAAAACAATACTATCTGAAGTGTCAAGCCATTCGTGCTAAAAATGGTATATAAATTGGTGATATCTGTGGATTGGAAAGCAGTTTGAATTCAATAAGCAACGAGAGCACTTCTCGAACGGAATATATCAGTTTTCAAAAAGTACCGAAAGAAATTTAAAAGTACCTACAAAATGCCGCCGCCACACCACGAAGATCGCCTGTTCGGAATCCACTTTGGTCTGAATTTGGGAGGTGGCGGACACCATCATCACCACCACCACCCACCGCCGCCTCCACCGGAGTACCATCACCACCACCACGGACCACCGCACCACTACGGACCTCCGCCGCACCACCACCATCACTATGGACCTCCACCACCGCCGCCCCACTTCGATCATCATCATCATCACCACGGCGGCCACTTCGACCACCATCATGGACCTCCGCACGGTCATCATCATCATCATCACTGCTAGATCGGTGTTGAAAAAGGATTCAGAAGCCAAAATCTTCTAATGACAAGTGGACAGAAGGAAGAATTGAGAAAATATTTATAAACGAATTTAATTTATTACATAACATGAAAATAAAGCATGTACCAAAAAAAAAAAAACTAAATAGCAAAAAAAAAGAAATATACACTATTTAAAACCTGAAACTAGAAATATTTTTTATTTTAATAAGTTTATATACTTAGGCATTTGACTTGTTGTATACTAAAAGTGTTTTGTATTATATACATAAGTGCTGTCTTCATATAAAATCTTAGTCATATCAATGCCAAATTTACACGAAAAAAAACAAAACCTACGTACTTCGCACTTAGTTAATAACAGTCCATTCGAAAAAGATTAAAATAACACATAATCTTATCTTGATTGACAATGCAAACACAAAGAAATCAGCTAAGCGTAATTTACCAATCCTCCCCACATATTTATTAAGCTGATTACAAAGTCAAGCGAATCAAGAATAATTCTGAAAATTTATAATTAAAGGAATTCTAAACCAATAAGAAGATTAATTGGGACCACAGACACGGAGCCGGGCCACCCACAAAAACAATTTGCTAAGCCGATAAACACAAATGAAATTAAATATAATTTTAGTACGATTTGGATTCGCTTCGGGTGGGTCAAACAAAATGTTTGCCAATTACAAAACCATTTCAAAGTGTTTTTATTTTTTCTGCGGTTGTCACAAAACGCTAATTAGACAGCAGCTACCATATACAGTCGGTCTCTCAATACCCGTATATATTTGTCTGTGGGTTACGGCCTGTCATAAAATGTAAAATGCTGCCCCCGGCGTGGGTCGTATGGGTATCGACACCTGGAAAATATTGGTAATTAAAATTTGCCAGTTGTCGGCCAGAAAACCGAAAAAAACTGCTTCCATTTTGGCCTGTCTAATAATGTTGTAAAACATGTTGCCATTAAGTAAAGCGACAGACGCCAAAACGCCCCAAAGGCAAAAACAGGAAAAATAAGGAAAAATGATTTAGTGTTAGGGAAATACCCTACATATCATTTGCATGTTTAAAAAAATAAAACAAAAAAAGATCGCAATTTGTAAATGTTTGATTTTCGTGTTAGATGCATTTTACACAGACCAATTATTTTTATAGATCGCATAATAATTTATTATTAATATTAATATAAAAACGACGTAAGGGAGAAGATGTCATTTTATTAATAAACAATAAATAAGTTTAGGTAATATTTTCTTTTGTATAGATTTAAATAAAGTGCATACCCTTCCAAACAAGGTTCAAAATAAACGTATATTGAATATATATATTTCTAAGATACCTTGCTCACACCATCGCTTTTTCGCTGACAAGTCGAGCTTATGGAATTGGTAGCAGTAGGTGATACTCGAGCACTCTCTTCAGGTTTTCGGACCAAGACTGTCAATTAAAAATGAAAATTATTCGGGGTCTGCCTATCAACGATTTTTTGACAATTTCATGAGACAGGTCGTCAGCTGACAGCCATGGGAGTGGGGTGCCCCACCCCCCTTAAATTGAGTAGATGCACTCATAGAAATTTTTACCCTAAATCGCCCTAAAAAACTGACTTTTCGCCCGTGGATTTAGAAAATCGCCCATAAATCGTATCCGCTGGCGATTCGCCCGTGTATTTAGAAAAATTTTCTAAAAAATCCCGATGGAAATTTGGTTTAATTTAGGGTGATTTTTCTTGAAATAAGAAATATTTTCCTTTTTTTAGGGTGATTTGCCCTAATTTTAAGGTGTATTTTTCTAAAATTAAGGGCGAATTTTCTGTTTTTAAAGGCAAATGCCCTAAAAAATTAGACAAATTAAAAAAATTCGAGTTTGAGCATGCTTAACTGAATTTGGGAAGCATGTATTTTTTAATCGTGTATATTCTGGGAACTGGGACTGCTTTAATTACACAAAACCGGCGGAGGACACCGTTTCATATTGTTGTATTGGTGTGTAGCTTATATGGGAGCTGCGCTAAGAGGGGGGCCCGATCTATACAGAACAGCCGTTAGAACTGAAAAATCATGTTTGTAAACGAATTAGGGAAATAAATATGAGGAGAAAAAACAACTTACTTTTTTTGGTCATTGCGAGAATCGAACCCACGACCTCTCGGTTTAGAGTCTAACGTCCTAACGCTGCACCACAGACCCATCGCGCAAGACGACGAACAAACTCTGCACACATCTTATTTTCTTGAGGTCTACGTTATAATATGACTAAAGGCAACTAAACCGTATAAAGTATGCTTTTAACTCAGAACTCCCATACGTTTTTAAGGTTTAAAGACTACTTTAATTTAAAATTCGGACGAAAAAATGTCCTCAGTATTATAATGTTTACAAAAAAAAAAAACATAAAAATCAAGTTGAATCACACAGGGTTCGAACCCACAACCTTAGTCCTCATATAGCAAAGTTGAAAGCGCAAGTGATTAGACCGCTGGGCTACCGAATTTCACACTTTTGGAGTGATTTTTAAGGCAAATCGCCCTTGTATTTAGAAAAATTTTAGAAAAAAAATTAGGGCAATTCGCCGTTGGATTTAGAAAAGGTCAAAACGAAGCAAATCGAAAAAAACCGCCCTAAATATTAGAAAAATAGAAAAATTAACCCTAAAAATATTTTTTTATGGTCACCTGCCTTAAATTTATGGCAAATTTGTCGTGAAATAGAAAATTTTTCTCAGTTCAAAGGCGAAAAATTTTTTAGGGCGATTTTCTAAAATGTAGAAAAATATTTTTATGAGTGTGACAATTAACGTCTCAATTCATAAATGTCGCGTCTGGAAAATCCATTCCTCAAACCGAGCTGCTTGCTTTTAATTAAAAAACTTAAATTATGCCTGTGGCCTGGCTTGATCCATGTTTCAGCCTCAAATGGAGCCGCTTGGCAACTTCGTATATCTTAATTGTTATTTGTATTTAATTATATGGCAAGTCGGCCCAAGTTTGCCGCGAAAGTTGAAAATGTTGGAAAAACAACAGCAAGAGTGGGTAAGGAAAAAAAGTCAAGTCAAAGTTGCTTCGGCTTTTTTCCGTAATTAAAATGTTTACTTTACATAGTTGGCCAAGTGTTGACTCTACCGGTAAGAAGGTGAGTTAAAAGATGATAGAAAACAATGGAATGAGATGCTGGGCCATTCGTCGGATACTATCCCTTATTATGCAAGAAGGCAAAATAAAAGTGAGAAATCGGTGAATCTTTTGAGTCACAGTGATAGTTGCGATGAGTTTTAATACTAGCATTTTTAGTGACTACTTTTCTAGACCTATTGTATCTTATGAACTTCTTTGAATTTGTGTCATACTCGAATTATTTTTCTTTAATATTTATTGTTTCGATTTTTTTGACCAATCATTACTCCATTTCATCTGTAACCCCGTATACCAAATAAATTATTTATCCATACCTGAACAAACATCTCTTCGTTAATCAAAACACTAATATCCCAATTTCCTTTTCTTTCAGGTATGTACTTAAGGCAGTTCCACACCATAAACTAGAACTATGAGTAGTGTAAGTAATGAAATGTTCAGACACTGATCACCAATTCGACCTGATGGTCCATTAATGAATTTACCTAGTTAAAGTACAAGCCAATAACGCAGAGCCTCAAAAAGAGACTCCCATGGACCGCAATCAAATCGGGAGAATAAACCCATTACCGTACTCACTGGCCATCGTCTGCCAACCCGGGAAGACTAATCATAAGCCCATTCACATAACAATCAAAGGCAATTCTGGAATTCAGTTGGCAGGATTACTTCGAATAATTTAATAAACCCATGAAAAATCAAAAACACGATAAGTACGGCGGGACAACGGGGTTATCGCCTCCTCCCACGCGTTGCAATAAAAATTCCCCACCAAAAAACTCTCATTAACAAAGGCCATTCCATATCGAGTACGCATTCCGAAAAACTAGTCCCAAACTAAGGCCGCGTAATGTCGCTTGTTAGTACTAATGATGGGCTGGACCCCTGTTCCTCGGCCGTATCCCTATCCCCGTAAATCCCCTGCCCCCCGGAAAAAGCAAAAATAAATTTGTACATCTGCGATAGAAGCCGCGATATGGCAGCCAAGACCTCGGAAGGCCAAGAAGGAAAGAGCGTTGGCCATTTCGCCTGCTTGTCATAAATTGCCATGGAGCGCCAACAACAAGTTTCCTTAGACTTTGGGCCTTCTAGGCGCTTTATTCTCAGGGATGGTTGCGTGAGCTTTAAGTGGAAAAACTAATAAGGATTGGCTTTAAAATGGTCTTAAAGGGTATAGGGTTAATTAAGATGTTATTTTTGACGTGGGAAAATATACAGCCGTTCTACTGATAAACCTATCTTAATACTTTCACAAAAAGATAGTGCATATAATAAATATTTTAAAATAGAATAGATGTTAAATCATTTAATATATTATTTGTAAAACAAATCAATAATATATTATTTTAGATACAAAAAAAATAACACTTAAAGTGAAAATTTCCCTGTATGAAAATTTATTTAATATTCCAACAATGATATTAAATGCAAGTTTTTCTAAGTTTCCGTTTCGTGACTTAACAAGCCATCTCTAATCTCCAGTCAAGACCCCCAGGTCCGACCAAAAAAACCGAGTCGGCCACAGTCCATTGGATCCCGACCGTCGCGTCCAGGCTGTAAAAATTAATAGCCAACATAATAAGCGGCATTTTATGACAAGCGTGCACCTAGGCACACACACACTCGCACACTGACAGACACATTCTCACGGACACGGGGCCACGCCCCCTGGACAAGCGCCCCTTACATGTTTTTTTTTCGGAGTTGAGGCTTTTGGGCAACTATTTCTCATAGACTCACAGTCTCACACGGCAGAAGTCATTAGGTGAGGGATCAGTTGGCCACGCTTCTTCATCGCAGTCACTTTGAAAATTACGCAAATTGAAAGTTACATCGTTATGTTGCCGGCAAATGGGGAAAATCAGGAGGAAAACTCCGCAACTCCCTCTCAAGCAGACTGTCCAACAAGTTACGGGCTACGAGATCCCGCTTTATGATAATTACACGCAGCGTTCAGATTTGTTTTTATACGATTTTGTCGAGGAAAATTGAAAAACTTTTCCTCGGCCTCGGTGTTTGTGTTGCAAGGAAAAT